TTCTTCTGCTTTCTGGCCCTTGTCACTGGACTCCTGTACCTCGTTAGTCTCATTTGGTTTTACGGGGCTGTCCACTCCCAGGCTGAACAGTGAATCTCGGAGGTAACTTCACCACTGAGGTAAAAGGGTGTCTGGGGGCCATACCCTCGGGGTTTCTCCAGTCTCCTTTAGGCCAGTAAATCTGGTCTTTTTTTTTGTGGGTTACAGTTATGGCTTCTAGAAATTTTAAGACCTAATTCATAATGTGAAGTTCTGTTTAAAGTCTGAATGTAAAGTTAAGAAATTCTATAAATACTTAAAAATATAGTAGAGAAGACAGGTTAATTCAGGGAATTTGATGGGAAACTACAGTGGACACTGTCAATTTGAGGGTCAGGTTGCCTTGAAGATAACATATTATAATTGCACATACTCATATATGAACAATTCTGTAAGTAGATAAGCAAAAGTAAACGTTATATAAAATGTTATAAAAGAAGAAAGGACTGGTTATTAGGGGCTAAGGGGAAGAAGAAACGGGAGTTCCTACTGGAGGGGTACTGAGTGTTTGGGATGATGTAAAACTTTTGGAAATGGTTAATGGTGATGGTAGCACAACATGGAAAATATAATTAATAAAAACAACAACACCACTTCTTGCAGTCTTTGTAGATTGGCTCTGTGCTGAGGCACTTCTTCAACACTTTGCTAGACTTACACTGGGCCTAGAGATCTGCCTTAGTTGAAAGTCTAGGATTTTCTTCTGTGTTTGCTCAGCATATGCACCTTGCCATGACCATTTGTGTGGGTTTCTACATTCCAAGGTATACATGAGCCCTTCTGAATGTCCCAACTTCCCAAAGAAACTCTCTTCCCAGATCCTTGACCTTAACCCTAAACTTTATATTGTATGTCTCAATCGCCCTCTCTTGCCCTACGCAGCTATAGGCCTTTCAGTTTGCCATAAAATGATCTGGGTTATGCCCTCCCCTCATGCACAAACTCTTTTGCATTATCAAATCTCTCATTTTTATGACTGATCATTATAGCCAAGGGAAAATTAAGGTCCACAGAAGTTAAGTGACTTATTCAGAGTTTTAGAGAAATGTCAGGAGACTGAGGATCAGTGCTCACTTCACTATATCTTGAGATTTTACTCTTGGTCTTGATACTATTGTAAAACACTGTTTCACACTGAGAAAATAACATTTCAGTATCTCTCTCTTATTCTGTGAATCAGGGGTCAGAAAAATAATATATAACAAAATGAGGGAGTTGGCTACACCAATCAAAAGAAGTATTCTGTGCTATAAAAATTGGAAAATACCTAAATAAACAAAGTTAAATAGGTTTCTTAGCTATAGTACTTCTCAGAGCTTTGATAAATTAATGCTCATTATGGTGGTATGTTGCTTTCCAAACTTCTTGGTCATAAATACTCTGTGTTTTATGCTATATCTATGGATGTCTTCATGTAACACAGTTGATAAACGCTGGACTAGATAATTTTTCAGGTCAAAAATGTTGTGATTCTATCCCAAATATTTTTAATTCATGCCATTTCAATGTCTACTTCCACCAGTTGCAGCAGCCACATGAAATTAACTGATTTGAAAGAGATACGGTGTTCGTGTTCCAAATGCTGACGTTGATAGTTTTGCTTTACGATAATGCAATAGTTCTCAAAGTGTGGTCCACAGATCCTACAGTCTGAGACCCTATCAGAGTTGTGAGCTGAACTAGTCGTTTTTTTCACAGAACACCATTTTTACCTGAAAGAAAGACTGACAACATGAGGTTACTCAGACTTGGGTACTTGCTGACATTTTCTTGAAAAGGAATGAAATGAGCCTGTCAACTCAAAGAAAACAAATGATAGTATTTGATGCCAGTGATAAAATTTTAGCTTTCAAATGAAAATTAAAAATTTTGAAAGTTGTTAGCTGCCACTGTGGTCTTCACAACTTCCCAATACTTTTCTGATGATACTGGGGGTGATATTAACAAGTGTGATTTTTTTAAGTATAGAAATGTGACAACATTTGGAAGAGCTGCATAATTCAGAGAACCAATATTTTCTAAATTACCAATGCATGATATTACAAAATCATGCATGAGTAAAAGATTAAAAATGCAAGAAGTGGATTGGAATGTGTGTGTATGAAAAGGTCATTGATAAAGTTTCAGCTTCCATGCCGTACTAGCCTTTAAGAAATTATCACTTGTTGAGTTTTGGGGTAATGTCAAAGAAGACTATCTACAATAATCTGAAAAGGTAATGAATATATTTCTCTCTTTTCCATGAAATGGGTTTATTATTTTTTAATAAAAAAATAAATTTATTAAAATTTCTCAGTTTTAATTTCTAATACAGTAAATATGATAAATATAACCCACATAAACAAAAACTCTTTAGTATCCTCAATAGTTTTTAAGAGTGTAAATGGGTCCTGAGACCCACCTGTGAAATGCTGCCATAAAATGTTATCCCAATTACTGAAGACCACAAATGGTTAAGTTTTATTTCATCACCAATATAAGAATACAAAGGAAAACCAATAGAATTTGTTATGAAATATAATGGGGAAATATAGAATCTAAAATCTTCTTAACTGAGTTACATTTCTATCACATATCTTCTAGTAGGAAAATAAAACCAAAATACTATAGGGAAGGAGAAAAACATGATTTTAACATGAATATGTAGGTAAACATCATAGAACATTATTTCTTATAAAGAATAACCCATGGGACACGTTTTGCTTTCAAATTAACACAACTACTTAACAATGTGTATGGAACATTGCTCTCAAAGGGGGCTAGTTTTGTTTTGGGACTCTCTATTCTCCAGTTAGCCATGCCCCATAAATTAATAAATTTCATGTTTATTTACAATATGCAATCTGAACAGACCTATTCTGCTAGCAAATACCATTAGCATATTTATAAGGAGGTCTCGTTTAGCTAATCATTCTCAAAGGTGATCCAGAGTTGGGAAGGGGTGAGTCACAGTCTTGATGGCCACTCTTTCCTTCCTAATACCAAAAGGATTGAACTATAGAGACAAAATCCCCTGGACCAGGGAAGAAATGGTCTATAATCAGGGCTAAAAGAGTAAACTATATGTTCATAATTTATGGACTACAGTTTATGACGGATATTACAGAATAAACAATATAATCATTCCATAAATACTCTAGAGATTACAAGTAAGTAGCTTTATTTGAACAATTTTCTAAGCACATTAATTTGGAAGTCTACTGAATAAATAAGAATTTCTTGAAGTAGGAAATGGTTAGGTAGGCTCTTAGTATTATGAATCAGCTTAGGTTTTTGCAATGTATTTTCAGGTGTTATAACCTCTAATTGATCACAGGCATGGGAATGGCTTCTCTGATTGAGGTATTTTTTTTTTTTGTAATTATAATTATCATTTTGTTTTGTGATTAAAAACGTTTCTAAATATATTATGACATTTTTATATAACAGTATTTTTAACTAGTATATTAAACAAGCATGACTGTTAAGGTACAACCTTAACAGCAATTCTATCTTTGCCTCCTTTTGTACCATTAAAACTGTTCAGTGAGTAATAATTCTCTGCTCCTGAATAAAAATTTTGGTAATACTATGACTTTCTGGTCATTCCTACTATAGAATGCCCAACTATGTTTTAAGTTGCAGTATATAAACTGTATTGAGATCCCATCAATCTCTCCCTCTCTACCCATCTCTCTAGGCTGGCTCTCCCTACCATCATGCCCCCTTCTGGTCTATGGAAAACACTTAAGTATCTTCAAATTCTGGGAGTTTAGGCTGATTCTAATGCAGCAGCAGCAGCAAACTATCCTTCATTCCTCCTGTCAAAGAGGTAGCCTGTGCCTACTTCCCAGCTGCAGAGGAGATGTGTATCATGTCTGGATAGTCCTGGTTAATTTTTACTGTCTACATAAAGCATCATGTTTAATATCATGACCACAACCACCATTACCACCACCACTACCATCATATCATCCTCATTATTGAGCACTTACCATCACCACCACCACCATCATCATCAGGATTAACATTTATTAAGTCCTTACTATGTGCTAGGCAACTTACAAAGATTTATCATATAATCATCATGACTAAGCCACGACATAGGTACTATCATTATGCCCATTTTACAGATGAGGAAACTGAATAAGTAATTTACTCAAGGTTACATAGTAAAAAATGAAGCCAGGATTTGAACGCAAGCAGTCTAACAGACTAACCTGTTATCAGGGGGCATCCATGGAAGAGGAATATACATATCTGAGGGCAGCAAGTAAGGACAGCTTCCACAGCCTCATCAGTCAGATTCACACAATGTCCCATGTGAATCTGCTGTTTTAAAAAAGAAAGAAATAGGTCTATAATAACGGTATGAAAAAGTTTTAGAAATACTCTGATACAAAAAAACCAAACACCTACTTATAAGAAAAACTATACAGAAAGGGCCAATGTAAGCCTCCAGTAATTTGTAAGGTGCAGTAGCTTTAAAAGTTAAATAGCTAGCCATTTTGGAAAACAATTTGGCAACATCTATTAAAATTAAAGATGAATATATCCCAGAACCCAGCAACTCCAATTGTAGATGTCCACTATAGAGAAATTTCTGTACATGTACACAAGGAAACAATTTATAAATATGCTCATTGTAATACTATTTGTAATAGTAAAGCAGTGGAGAATTGGTAAATAAATGACGGCTTATCAATATAACAGAGTAAGATAAAACAGTGAAAATTAAAAACATCTTCTTGTATTAATAGATATAAATCTCAAATATAATGTTAGTTCAATCACTTTGGAAAACCTTATGGTAGTATCTTATAATACTAACCATGCACTTACTATCTGACCCAGCAATTCCACTCCTAGGTATTTACACAAGAAAAACAAAAATACATATTTATACAAAGACTTGTATGCAAATTTACATAGCTATATTAATAAAAGTCCAAAATTGGAATAACCAAAATGTCCATCAAGTGGTGAATGTATAAACAAACTGTGACATATCCATACTAAGGAACACTACTCAGCAATAAAAAGGAATGAAATATTAACACATGAACAAAATGGACGAATCTCAAATGGATGAATCTCAAAAATTTTATGCTAAATGAAAGAAAGTAAAAGAAAAAAGAAAAAGTTATATACGGTATGATTCCATTTATATAAAATTCTAGAAAAGGTGAAAACTATAATGACAGAAAGCAAATCAATGATTGTCCGGGGTGAAGGTCAGGTAAGTGGATCTACTACAAAGGAACAGGAGAAAACTTTTTAGGGTTATCGAAATGTTCTAGTTCTTGATTGTGGTGGTGGTTACATGACTGCATAACAATTACAAAAACTTATCAAACAGTACATTTAAAATGGGTACCTTTTATTATATGTAAATTAAGCTGCAATAAAGCTTGACAATTTTTAAAAAACATAATTTTGAATAAAAAAACATTGTAAAAGGACACGTACATTGTGAAAGTGTTGTATAAATTTTTTAAAAATGTAAAACAATACTATACCTTGTTTATGGATCTATACACATATAGAAAAAGTATCCAAGCATGCAAGGAAAATACATAGTCATCTTTAGAATAGTGGTTAACCTCTGGTGGAAGAAAGGGGTGGGTGGCTTTAGATGTAACTTTTAATTTTAAAAAAGGAACAGAAACAAATGCAGAAAATATTATAATTCAAGTGATGGGTCCACAGGTCTCTGTTATATTACTTTCTATAATTTTCCATATATTTGAAATAGTATAAATGCTTTGCTTGATGAACTGATTTCAAAATTAGCTTAAAAGTGAGAAAAACTATATTCTCCAGTTTAGTTAACGACAATGATATGAATGACAAAACTAGCACCGATAAATAGATTAAAACAAGAAAGGAATGTGACCTTCACCCATTAATATTAAAACTTCAGCAACTGTATTTTCTTGAACTATTTGGAATCTCCCTTTTCACATGAAGCTTTTCCCAGGCTCCATTCACCCCAGCCAGAGTATTCCAATCGGCCCCAAGTTAGACCTAAGTTACTAAGAAATTACTACCTGCTCCTTTCTCAAGAAAACTGCAGAGGAACCCTTTTGTTCTTGCTCGTACCAACAACTATCCTCACCGAAACTTACATGTCTGAGTGCTTAACCCAAACTCTACAGTCAGTCACATCACCAGGGGGGTGAGGGGGGATACTCCCTGACACTGTTAGAGGGGGTGACACCAAAATGACCCCAGGGTCCACAGCCGCAGCAGGTATGGGGGACCCGGCGATGCAGGGGGAGGGGCCGCCAAGGCAGTGGCATCACTGTGGCTGGTGTCAACCATCACCCAGTGCGCTAACTTGTCACCCCCCCCATCTGCCAGTCAGGGTGCAGGGGGGTGGGCCATGGCGCCCCTCTTTGGGCAGAGAGAAGGGTATCTGCCTTGGCCAATGGGAGAGGGGAGGAGCTGCAGGAAGGTGGGGGAGCGAGGCCTTGTGACACATACTCAGCCCTGTGGGCGGAGAGGCAGGGCCAGGCCGCTCCACCCATTCCACACCCCCGCCACTGAGGGCATCGCACCATGAGTTACTGCACTGGGTGACACCAAACCTACTGATGCCACTGTCTGTCGTATCTATTCTCAGAACCTCTACTTTTCTCAGAGTAGCTTTGTCCCTCAAAATCCTACAAAAAACCTCCATTCCTGCTTAATCACTCAGAGCCATTTTTTCAGAGGCTGTCTTTCCTGCTGCATATTAGCTAATAAAAAGAAACCTTTCTTTCCCTCACCTTTCAATAAGGCTTGAAAACAGCTCAATCTCCTTTTTACAGAAAGGATCTAATTTATTTCACTTCTGAGATCAAACCATATTAATGTTGTCTGTACTTAAAAAAACAAAGAATTGCCGTTTAGTTGATTTCGACTCATAGTGACTTTATAGGACAGTGTAGAACTGTCCCATAGGATTTCCAAGGAGCACCTGGCAGATTTGAACTGCTGACCTTTTGGTTAGCAACTGTAGCTCTTAACCACTATGCCACAAGGGCCAGATGAAAATCACCAAAGATAATCATTAGCATTATTGCAGTTAATATATTTACCTAAGCAACACATTTAGCCCTCCAACATGATAAAGCTTTAACTTGTTTCTCTGCCAGTCTGTGCAAGATCAAGAGAAGTGTAAGATGCAGTTATAATCATAAATTCTCTGATAAACATTACCAATAATGCTACCACTGAGAGATAATCACTTTGAAATTATTTCTTTCCAATCTTTTCTCTATATATATGTTCATTAATAGTTTTAATAACAGTTAAACAAGTTTTCTTAGAATATAGACCTTTGTTGTTTTCCCTTAAGATTAAGATAATGAAAAGTATTTTAATTACCATATTAATAACTATTTTGTATAAACCAATATGAAACCTGTTGCCATCAAGCAGATTCTGACTCATAGCGACCCTAGAGGATAGAGTAGAACTACCCCATAGGGTTTCCAAGGCTGTCATCTTTACAGAAGCAGACTGTCACATCTTTCTCCCATGAAGCAGCCGGTGGGTTCAAACTGCCAACCTTTTAGTTAGAAGCCAAGCACTTAGGTTATTTATATTTGTTACTGAGGGGGACATAAAATATATTGTTTCAATCCCTCTGCTGAAATTCTCCATCTGTTAATGTATGTTGTCCAGCTTTCCCCCGAGATCCTTTAATATATTTATCATGATTATGTTAAAATTCCTGACTGGATAATTTTAAAATCTGATCATCTCTGGGTCTGGTTCTATTGACTGTTTTATCTCTTAATGATAGGTCATAATTTTTTGCTTTTTGTGTGTGTCTTGTAATTTTTTATTGAATGTCAGATATTGTGTGTAAAAGAATAGCAGAGACTGAAGTAAATAATACTTACACCCATAAATGGAGATATCTTTTCTGTCAGCCTGTAGTATATGGGTTAAATCAATCTAGTCTATAGTTGAGCTTTAGTTACATTTAGCGCATCACACTCTTCAAATTCCTCCACTGGTGGACCTTTACTTTCTTGTATTCAGCATTAGGCCTCAAGTTTCAGACAATTTCTCTCATTTCTCCTGCTCCAACCTCATATCTCAGCAGACCCTGAACACCTGTACCAAAAAGAGGCTCTCTAGTACTTCTGCCCCTTCCCCAGTGGTAAACTGCTGTTGCTGAGTACCTGGCACAAGGCCTAGAGTATTGGGGTAGTGAGCTGAGACTCACTCTTAGCCCATCTCTCAGTTCTATTCTACCCTCAGACTTAGACAAGCCCTAAGACTTAGGCAAGCCTATGTCTAGGATGGGGGAGGTGTCAGTCCTGCCCCTGGTAGAACATCACTGACTGGCAGTTGGTGAAAGACCCCATATGCAGAAAAATTAGGCAGGCAGGAGAGGATGTCATTCAGCTCTCCTGTCTTTCCCTCAGTTGCAGAACCCCCCATAACCTTGTACTCTGTGCAGGGGATAGAGAGCAGGAGGGTTTCCCATCCTCCCCAATGGCAGACAACTGTTGCCTTGTACTTATGTAGGGTTTAGAGCTCAGAAAGGTGTTTCTCAATTCTTCTACTCTACCCTCAAACTTAGGCAGGCTTACATGCCTATGCCATCTATTACACCTCTCAGGTTATTCTGATGATCAGCAATGTTTGTGAACTACTGGTTAAAGTTATATGCAAGAACGTGTTTCTTATGTAGATTACAAGATTAAATACACACTTCTACTTGGATACATATTGAAATATATTATAGTTCAATAACTATAATTGTTTGTCTTCCTATATAGTCTGCGAGACTCTTGAGGGAAGACATTAGGTCTTATACATCTTTTTAGCCACATAGCCACCAAAGTATCTGGGACATGTTAGATACTCAACAAATGTTTACTGAATTAAGTTGATTGTCTTTTGAAACAGAGTATTTTATATAAACCATTTCAGGAATACGAGCCACATAGCTTGTTTCTACCTACATATATATTCTCCATCATTAGCCTTTAATGCAATTTAACACAGGCAAATTAAAATTAGTCTTGAGTTTCCAGAAAGACAATCGGTGTGTCCAATTCATTTATGCTGTTACCCCTTCATCCTCCTAGTAATGTCCTGAGAATCATAGCCAAACACAGAAAAGATGAAAACCAATTTGGTTTGTAGACTTTCCGGTGTTTTTATTGACAATGTGATGTACCCAGCATATCAGGATTAGGTAAAATGATGTCTCAGCTCAAAAGCTGGAATAACCCAAGGTTTTTGATTGACCATACCAAACCACAGTTACACTAACAGTAACAGAGTAACAGTAATAGAGTAACCCCTCTGAACCAGAAATAGTGGTCAAATCAATATATGCTCTTTCCAAAATCCAGTGTCAATGCATAAAGATAAGTACCAAATTACACAAAGTCTATATAGCAGTTATAGGAAAGGTATTCCAAATGTAAACATGCCCTAATCACAAAGGGGACTGTAAAACATTCTTGAGGTTAACACAGAAAAAGAAATATAGGATGGTCCAAAGGAGCCTTAACCATAAACTCATACAATTCTAGCACAAATGATCCCCAACTAAACCCAAGAAGCATTATCCACAGGGGATAATGTAGGCTAAGCTGGAGTTTGGGATGTCTAGTGCAGATTTTTGCCTTTGAAGCCAATATTGGGCAAAGGGCAACTTTTAAAGCCTTATCAACACATGGGCTTACCATGAGTCAGATTTGACTCCACTCAACAGGTTTGGTTTGGTTTTATCGACGCATGCCTGTCATGCTGAGGTTGATCTCCATCATCAGTCTTTAATGCAATTTAGAGATACTGCTTGTGATATAATTAAATCCACTAATGATAATAAGCCAAAATAAGGTAAAGATGAATCTTTAGTACTTTTAATGTCATTGAAATAAATAGAAGATAGCTTCAATAAGTTAAAAGTATCTCACGATGACTATAGATTAGTAGATTCTGAAGACTTCTATAATTAAAGTGGGATAAATTGAAATTGTGTAATACCCTGGTGACGCAGTGGTTAAACGCTTGGCTACTAACCAAAAGGTTGGCAGTTCAAAACCAACAGCCGCTCCTTGTAAACTCTATGGGGCAGTTTTACTCTGTCTTATAGGGTCACTATGAGTCAGAATCAACTTGACAGCAACGGGTTGTTTGCTGTTGAATACTCATTATTTCTAATTTAAGAATTGTAAATATTGTAGATATTTTTAATTATTATGCTTTTATACTTTTAATTTTGGTAAATATGAATATTATTTATAAAGAATTACATAGGTTCAAGGAACTTCAGAACCCTTAACCCTATTTTTCCTATAAGGTATTTTCTTATCTATGATTGTGATAATAATGGGATAATACTGTCCCTGGAGAAGGACATCACATTTGGTAAAGTACTGGGTGAGAGAAAAAGAGGAAGACCCTAAAGGAGATAGATTGATACAGTGGCTGCAAAAATGGGCTTAACCACAGCAACAACTGTATGGATGGCGCAGGACTAGGCAGTGTTACATTCTGTTGTACATAGGGTCGCTATGAGTCGGAACCAACTCAACGATACCTAACAACAAAAACAACATTGTTGTAAGAATTAAATAACCTAATAAATATAAAGATAGAGGGTCAGTGAAAAAGAGGAAGACCCTCAATGAGCTGGATTGACACAATGGGCTCACACATAGCAATGACTGTAAGGATGGCTCAGGACCGGGCAGTGTTTTGTTGTGTTGTACATAGGGTCACTATGAGTAGGAACCAATTCGACGGCACCTAACAAAAACAACAAGAAATATAAGGAAGCACAGAGGCTGACATATACTAAGTGCTCAACAAACATTAAAATTGAAAATAGTAAATATTATGGCAGAATTTATTGCCCCTACATTTAGGATGCAATTTGAAACTTGGAACTCGGTATAAGAAAAATATGGTAATTTCTTAATAAAAAGAGTTTTAATAATACTATATATGTGACAGTAATATAAGCAGGACCCAGCTAAATAAATATCATAAAAAAAAGAATCTCTTTGGGAAATATTTCAAGAGGAAATATTCTGGCAAAAACATGGCACTGCCATTCTATTACAATAGACTAACATTTATAATTTACTTATAGCCTACTTAGTTTCAAAAAGACTTTTACGTGCCTTATTTTTAAAAAACATGGTTATATTAAATAAGAGTTAAAACAAACAAACAAACAAAAAACACCGTCAACTGGGGAAAAAAAACACACCAAAATCCTGAGATAAAAGGCTGCTTAATATATCCAGAAACAGGATATAGGTGACATATCAGTCATTGAATCTAAAGGCTGAACAGTAATTTAAAATGTTTTTAAATGGTTTTATAATACAGCTATCAAGAAAAATAGGATGCAAGAGACTAAGGAGTCCTAGTAGAAATATCAAACATGATAATACTAATGAATGTCACTTTACATTTATAAATTTTCACAATCTTCATCCATAATAAGAGTATCTTTAAATCTGTTAGAAGCTAAAACTTCTATAAAATAAGAACTTTAATTGGAAGTAAAATGGATCTTTATTTTAAAACACACTTTATCCCCTAACTTTACCAGTTTTTCTTTAGAATAAAAAGGTAGAGGAAAAAAAAAAAGTCCATGGAATACCTAACTGATAATAAGGCATTGGTTGCTACCCTTCTGGAGCAAAATAGAAGAAAACTAAAGACTCAAAGAAAAAACTAGTCTACAGGACTAATTGCCTACAAGAACGACGGCCTCATCTATCTAAAGAACAGAACTAAATGGTGCCAGGCACCACTACCGACTGTTCTGACCGGGGACACATACATGGTCCTGGAAAGGGAGAAAATTGTAGAACAAAACTCAAATTCTTAAAAAAAAAAAAAAGGCCAGACTCACTGGACCAGTATAGACTAGAGGAACCCCTAAGACTATCACCTTGAGATACCCTTTAAATTTTGAACTGAAATTACTCCCAGAGGTCAACCTTTCAGCTACATAACAGACTGGCTCATAAAATAAACAATATCACCCATGAGTACTCTGCTCCTTCTACTAAAAAAATCATCTATATGGGACCAAATGGTCAACATTTACCTTAAAGCAAAGATGAGAGGGTCGGGGGTAGGCGTGTAGAGAAGCTGGATTAATGGAAGCAGAACCACCAGAACAGAAATAATAAGAATGTTGACACAATGTGGAAAATGTAACCATTGTCACTGAACAATATATACAGAAATTGTTAAATGAGAACCTAATTTGCTGTGTAAACTTTCACTAAAAACTCAATAAAATATTTTTTAAAAAAACCAAAAAAATAAGGCATTGGTTGTCTGCTGGTTTAAAAAACAAGTTCTGAGGATAATATAAAAACACAGCATCATCTTTATAAATATTGTTTAATTACCTCTAATTTCTTGGAACAAGGCCCACTAACAAGTGCAATCACACCACTGTCAGATACCTATGCAAAGGGAAGAAGAAAGAAAGCACATAAATGGAGATGACAGAAGTAAAATTTTCTAAAAATTATTTATCATTAGAATAGTTTTATTGCCTCCCATTCAGCAAACATGTGTTTTAACTATACATACCTTCACCCTTGTTACTTAAAATAATCGAGGGGAATGCACCAAACTACACTGCAATTATTTAGCTACCAAAGCATGAAGTGGCCAACGTTTCAATAACAACAACAACAAAAATTAATAATTATGTCATGGAAATACATTGGGCAAACCCATAGTGTATATGTTTCAAGTCTATGTTTGCATTTACCTGAGTAGCTGAAAAGTCAACACACTGCAAAAATAGGCAGTTTTCTCCTAATGCATGTAGGGACACATCAGTAATACCTAAGCAGCCACCTAAATCAATGACCTTTAGCAGCCGGCAATTGAGTGCAAGAGCAAGGACTCCTTCATCAGTGAGATTGCAGCATCTTTTCAAAAAAGCTTCATGCAGGTATAAACAAGATGAAGCCACAGCTTTTATTCCTGGGGGAAAACATAATTATATATTGATGAGATATGTATGTATACACATGAGAAATGTTACTGTTTCTCATTTTAACAATCACCAGTACTAATTCATCTAACTGTATATAGATTACCCTTTTTCAAAGTAGTCCATCTGTGAGGATGGACTTATTTTCCCTTGATGCTGTCATTATTCAAAACTCTTCTGGAATGTTTCAAGAATTTTCTAAACAACCTGTGGTATATTCTTCAGAATATCTGCAATTGATGGCAAGTCTATTTAAGTTTATATTTGCTTTTGAGAAATAGCTAAAAGTCATTCAGAACAAATTTGATAAATAAATAGTAGATGATTCCCTTTTGGTTAAATAAAAGTTTCAAAGTAATAAAGTTAATTTTCTTGGAGACTCCAAAGGGAAATAAAAAGTTAAATTGCCCCAATGTTTTAAGCAATGGTCTTCATGCTTATCAGTAGTAATCATACCTACACCTCTGCATTCTCCCTTCCCTCTTAGATTCTGTCCTCAAACTTGGATTTCTTTACTGTCACCATGTTCCTTCTCTGTTGGCCTGGACCAATCTGACATTTTTACTGAGAGTCAAGAAAAGAGAAGTCCTTGAATTCAACTAAGCTGACGTAAATGCACGTGGGAGACTGGTGCAGGACATTGTGTCCCATACATAAAAGAGTACTTCAGGGCTCCTGGGCCCTTCAGTCATGAACAAACATTGTAGCATTGTTAAAAGATACTTCTATGGACAAAATAAACAAACAGAAAGATAGTAAATTCATAGATAGGTCATTTTATTGTTTCTTTGAGAAAGAACTGTTATTTTACTCACCAGAGTCCAGTCTGGAAGTTCTTTTTAGCAACTCATTACTTCTGTAAACATTTAAAAATTTACGCCTCTTTGCAATATTACCAACGTCCTAACTTGCTAACCAAGATGACTGCAAAATATAGCTAATCACCCACAAAATTTTCCAGAAACCTAGTTGGCCAGATAAGTTTCTCTTCCTTAATTTAACCAGAGAAATAGTCCATGTTTAAAAAACTGGTAGACATCCACTATTTCATTTAATAGTAACAATAAAAAATTTAGTTTGTATGGCTATGTAAAACTAAGCATCGCGCCCAGATGGCTTCACTGAAGAATTCTACCAAATATTCAGAGAAAAGCTTGTACCAGTACTACTCAAATTATTTCAGAACATAGAAAAGGAAGAGGATACTTCTGAACTAATTCTATGAAGCCAGCATAACCCTGATACCAAGATCAGGCAAAGACACCACAAAAAAAGAAAATTACAGACCAATATCTCTCATGA